TTTACAACTATCATCTCATTCGATCCTCACAATAAGGAGATAGTAGTCAGAATGTCATGTATAAGCATCGGCAAGATCAAGCGAACCATAGAGTGTAAGAAGGGTAATGAGTTATAATAATCCTGAATCAGAATCATAAAGAGTATACATATTTCTTGATTGTGCATGGCATCTTTACACGACTTGGCCAGTTGTTAGGCCCTACAAGAGGCAACTAGGTGGCACAGTGGATAGAGCCCTGGGCTTGGAGTCAGGAAGACTCATCTTCATGAATTCAAATCCTTCCTCAGGCACTTACTACCTGCGTTTCCCTGGGCAAGTCACTTAACCTTGTTTACATCAGTTCTTCATCCTTAAAATGAGCTGGAGAAAGAAAAAGCAAACCACTCCAGTATCTTTCCCAAGAGAACCCCACATGGGGTGACTAAGAGTTGGACATGACTGAACAACAACAACTAGGGCCTCATAGAGAAATGCCTAAAAATGGAAATATTAAATGCATTTTTCACTGATGACAATATGATTATAATAAATAAATTTAATCTGAATGGAAGGAGATGCCTTTTACAACTGTGGAAGATGATAATTCTTGATAAAATAAAGGATAGAGAGCATCATAAAAGATAAAATGCACAATTTTTATAATATTTAAGTTTTTCACAAAAGCAAAACTGATACAGTTAGAATTAGAAGGGAAAAAGTTAACTGGGAAGAAAATCTTTGCAGCAAAATTATCTGATAAAAGTCTAATATTCAAGACATGGAGAATTGACACTAATATATAAAAATAAGAGATATTGCTCAATTTATAAAGGGTCAAAAGAAATGAAAAAAGTTTTATGAAAAAATGCAAGCTATCAATAATGATATAATAATGCTTCAAATTACTAATAATTAGAGAAATGCATGTTAAAAATAACCTTGAGATTTCACTGCATATCTATTAGATTGACAGAGATGGCAAAAATGGAAGATGGTAATTGTTGGAGGGGCTCTGGAAGGACAAGCATGGTAGTGCGTTGTAGGTGGGGCTGTTCAGAAAGGCAGTTTGGACCCTAAAGTGACTAAGTTGTGTATACCCTTCGACTCAGTGGCATTACTATGCCCCTAAAGAGATCGAAGAAAGAAAGGACCCATGTGTACAAAAATAATTATAGCAGGACTTTTTATTGAACTGAAAAACAATACAGGGGCCTATCAATTGGAGAATGGCTGAACAAACTGTGGAATATTAATGCAATTGTGCCTGAAGAGATGATGAATTGGACAGTTTCAGAGAACCCTGGGAATGCTCATATGAAATGATGATGAGTAAATTGAACAGAGCCAGGACAATTTATTTAATAACTATAATAAAATAAAGGAAAGACTTAAGAATTCTGATTAATCAGGAATTTGGAAAATTAATGATGAAGCACATTTCCCACTTCTTGGTAGAGAGGTGATTCACAAGAAGTGCAGACTAATATATTTTCAGACATGATCAATGTGTAGATTTAATTGCTTCCCCCCATACTTATTTGTTACAAGGGAGGGTTTTTATTATGGATGGAAGAATAATGGGGGAAGTGGATGGGTAGTGGTATGTAATGCAAAAAAATTAAATAAATAAAAGAGGAAAAGGACACCCATGAAACATTTGAAAAATAGAAGACAGTTTAAGGAAGTTTAGAAGTAATACAGAAAAGTGGGGCCTTTTGGGTACTACTGTATTAGATTTACATTGCTGTGTAAATGTGATGTATAGTTTCCAAGTTTCACATACAAATTTTTTCTGTTCTTCTGTATATGTGGAAATGTTAATGTTGATGTTTGTTAGCTTCATGATAAAAAAATTATTCTTAAAATAAGAGAGTAGAGAAATGGCAGAAAGAAAGCACACACTCCTTTTCCTTGCTCTCTTTCTGTTACACAGAGTAACAGGCACTAGTTCTCTTTGTCCCTCATTTTTTTTTTGGTGGGTGGAAGAACACAAGGAAATGCTTTTTCTTTCTTTCTTTTAGTCCTTCTCTCCTTCTCTCTCTCTTTTCCTCTTCTTAGTTGGAAGCTGGGAAGTCTGCACGGTCTCATTTTAAAGTAGGACGCCTGAACCCATGAGAGGGAATCTAATTCCACCCCATTTGTGGAAGTTCTTGTGTTTTATATCTTTACATTTACTATTAAGAATTACAGTCTCAATTAGTATTAGTCATTATTGATGGATTTACATCAATAATGTTTGCACCGAGCTGGACGATATCCCCAAAGTCCATGTGTTTGCCAGTTCTCATTAAATCTCTCTCCTTAAGAAAAGGAGTGGTTTGGACTAGGTAATTTCTAAGGACCTTTCGAATTCTAAATTTGTGATCTCCTTTCTCCTGACTAGAGAAAAGAATCACTACCTTTACCATTACCAGAAGAAAGCTATACCTATTATCTAATTCACAGGCAAAATAGTTAGGAATACTCCCGGGAGGAGTACAGTAGAGTGGTTTGTCTGAGGCCTATGCCTACATCTATAATATGGGTGATCAGATTACCCTCTGTGACAGCCCTGACTCTGATTTGGTTTCTTCCCTCATATCTATTTATTTAATTTCTTTTTTGAGGCAATTGGAGTTAAGCACTTGGCCGAGGATCACACAGCTTGTAAGTGTCTGAGGATGGATTTGAACTCAGGTCCTCCTGATTTTAGGTCCTGTGCTCTTTCCACTGTGCCACCTACCTGTCCCTACCTATTTAACTGAAATCTTATTTATTCTTCAAGGCCCTATTTTTTATCACCTTCTCCACGAAGGCTTCCCTGCTCCCTTTTCTGTATGTTTCTACTCGCCCCATGCACTTCGCCAACCTAGTTTGGGTCCTTATCACTTCTCCCCCAACTCTTTTTGTGATCACCTCCGATTTTGTCTCCACTTCAAGCCTCTCCCTGCTCCAGTCCATCTTCCTCAAGGTCACCAAAGTGATTTACTAAATTACAGTAAATGTGAGTGGCTTGATCCTCTAAGTTCAAATATAAACTCCCCTGTTTGATATTTAAATGTCTTCACAACTTGGCTTCTTCCTACCTTTCCAGTCCTCTTGCTCATTATACTCACTGCCCTTCCCCTCCCTGCTGAACCCTGAAACCTGGTGTACTTCCATTCAGTGCACATGATACAGCAGCATCCCCTGCCTGAGCCTTTTCCCCAGCTCTCTCCCATACCTAGAATGCTCCCTCCCACAGATGTGCCCTCTGCACCTATCTCTTCGATACACACATATGTACTTAAGTCATGTTTGTGCTGTTTTCTCCATTAGAATGTAAGTTCTTGGAGGGTGGGGACTGTTTTTGCATTCTGTTTACTTAGTGAGTGATTGATTGAACTCTCCTAGGCACAGTTAATCACAGGATCTCTCATAGCCTTTTGTTCTCAGTTCATTTCAGAGGACAATATGAAGTTCCCATTGGGTACAAGGCACTTTGCCAGCTAGGGATACAGAGATAAAAATGAAGACAATCCTTCACTTCTGCAATGGAGACAGGTCACATAATATATCTTGTATATGAGTAAGGATATTGTGAGGAAAATTAAGAAACAGAGTATTAATAACTAGGGTGATTTTCTATCTGCTTATATTTTCGTTTATGTTGTTGCTGAGCTATGCTGGAGCTAGTTCAAACTGGCTCTCTGAGCTGATTGTTAATTTTTTGAGTATGAGTATTTATATCTTGAAAATTAACAAAAAACTGTATCAGGGCTTAATTTATTGGGTTTTTTTTGGTTGTCTAGACTTAAGAAAGTGCTGAATAACATGTTAATAATGCAGATTAAATTTAAAAGTATGTCCTGAATTTTTTTTCTGGAGAGCTGGTTGTTAAACATTTTATTAGCACATCCATGCTTGTATCTCTGTAATTTTTCCTACAAAAGTGTACGTTTCTTGAGGTCAAGAACCATTTTTTACTCATCCCAGAGATAATTTGTGGTATAGCAGATAGAGTACCGGGCCTGGAGTCAGAAAGATCTGAGTTCAAATTTGACCTCAGACACTGAATCGTTCTGAGGTCCTGGGCAAGTCATCTAAATTCCTCAGTTTCCTCGATTGTAAAGTGGAGATAATTATACCACCTACTTTCAAGGTTGTTGTGAGAATCAAATAAGGTAGTGTTTGAAAAGCCCTTACCAGAGTGTCTGGTACACAGTCGTTGTTGGGGGGCTTTTCAGTCATGTCTGACTCTTCATGACCCCATCTGGGATTTTCTTGGCAAAGATTCTGGAATAGTTTGCGGTTTCCTTCTCCAGTTTATTTTGCAGATGAGGAAACTGAGGCAAATAGGGTTAAATGTCTTGTACAGACTTGATTTGAACTCGTGAAGATGAGTCTTCCTGATTCCAAGCCCAATGCTCTATCCATTGTGACACTTAGCTACCCCCGGCACATAATAGGTACTTAATAAATACTTATTTCCTTCCTTCTTTTGTTTTCCTGGTACCAAGCATCTTATGCATCATAGATGCTTAATGCATGTTTGCTCAGGTTAATGGAATTGAAAACATGAACCTCTTGATTTAGATAAGTGTTGAAATCCTGGTTCTGTTACGTATTGCTTGTGTGACCTCAGGCCTCAGTTTCTTTATCTGAAAAAATGAGATGGGTTGACTATGAGATGGGCTTCGGTTTTTTCATTTGTAATGTGAATCAATTGGAATAGAATGGCTTCTAAGGTCTCTTTTATCTCTGTGATATCTTTCATTTGGTTGCCCAAACCAAAGTTGATTAGGATACTCCCTGATGAAATTGGGAATTTTTTCTAATTACCATTAATGGAAAATACGGTAGTTTTCTAGACGTCCAGATAATACAATAGATTATTATTGTCCATTGGATGAAGGCAACCAACAGAACACAGTGAAGAGAGTTTAGAAAGGAAGGTTGCCCTATTCTTTAGGCAGTCAGCTCTTAGACATAAGCTCTAGAGGAAAATTTTGAATTTTTTGAGAAATCTCTCTCCGCCTTTGACTTTATATTTTTTGCAGAGTGCAACGAGGAAGAAGAGATTTGTCTGTCCTCTCCCCCACTCGTCGGCAACATCGTCCTTCCGCAGAAACACAGACCATAGGAAACATGTGCTTGAATGCAGTCTAAGAAGTGAATTTGAGGTCACAGCTTCCTAAACCCCAAACTTATGGTAGCATGAGTTCAGAGAACAGAGAGGGTTTGCTGTTTGGAGCTGAGATCCTGTCATTCAGAAGGCGTTGGGCCATAGAGTGAAGACTCCCAGGGTGCAGAGTTAGTGAGATTTCTTGCTTTTGCTAGGGTACGGGATCTTATTATTTCTGAAAGAGTAAAACCATCGTCAAGGAACGCACTGGAGTCAGAGGCAACAGAGACCACAACTGAGCCCTGGAGCAATGTGCCCAGCCAAGACATCTTGTCTCTTGAGGAACAGTTCAGGGACATTGTGGGAAGACACCTGGATCCCTGCCTTGTGGGAGGTGGAAGTTGCCTCTCCATACGTGTTCTTCAAATGTTAGCCCCATCAAGGAACTTCTCTCTACTAACTCTCTCTTCCTTGATGTACACTTGAGGGAGACTACTCCCCAAGGTTATGGAGAGAATGTTTTATAGTAAAATCCAGAGAACCTGACCTGAACAGTCGAATTGTTGGACAGGTGCCCCTCAGAATGCTACATCTATAAAAAGGAAAAAAAAAGGAAATAAACACAATAGAATCCTGATAAAATGGCTTGGGCATTCATAAGCATTATTGGTGAGAGAAAATGACTTGGAAACATTTGAACTTCATGTGCCTTGTAATAAATAGAATCTTTTTTTTTATAAGAATGGGTTTGGTGTCCAGTGAAATACTTGCAACTCTAGATTTGGTCAAACCTCAATCATTGGAAAAATAGATTCATAACAATTTTTTTTAAAGACACAGCTATTTAGCCCATTCATAAGCTATTACCCAGTGGATCCTATTAAATAGTTGATAGATTAATATATAGGTTTTCCAGGTTTGTACTGGGCTTGGAAGAAGGAAAAAGGTCAGACAGTGGTAAGTAATTCTAGTTCATTCTTGTCAAGGAAGGTCAGGATTCATAACTATAGCTTATGCTACCAGAAAGGATTTCTTAGTATTTGCACTAAAAGTGAAAAGGGAGGAGGAAGGGAACAAATATTTATAAAGCCCTTCCTATGTGCTAATGCATTTTATAACAATTATTTAATTTGATTCTCAGAAAACCTTGGGAAGTAGAATTATTATTATTATCCCCATTTAACACATGAGGAAATTGAGAAAGAGGTTAAATGACTTGCCCAGGGTCATATAGCTACTAAGTATCTGAGACTGATTTTAAATTCAAGTCTTTTTGACTCTGGGCCCAGGGACTCTATCCACTTCATCACCGGCTGCTTCTAAGTGGGAATAATCATATTTCCTTTAGGTTATCTTAAAGCTGAGCACTTGAATGGAAAAAAAATGGAGTGAAATGGAAAGAGAATGAAAGGAGTTTAGAATGGAAGCTCTACTGTGGAGGGACATTATGCAGATAAATCAGAGAATAAATAAGACAAGTGCTTTGAGATCTTTCCAAGATAAGGTAATATATAAGTTGAAGAACAGATTCCTTCTGTTATAGATGCTTATTTTCCCTACCATGGTCCAAGTTAGCCATCATAAGTTTACATAGTCAAGAAGAACGGCTTCTTCTCTGCTGGCCTCTCCCCAGATCAGCCAAGAAACTTAGTACAAAAGCTGTCCTACAGCATGTAGTGACAATCTTAATGAATTTTTAAGGAATTAAAACTTAAAACTATACTAATACTTTTCTGAACACATTGTACTCCAGATTTAATGTGTAGAACCCAAGTGGGCAGAGCCTGGCCCAGGAATTGGGATCAGGGTCAGATTGATTCTCCAGGACAAGCTCTGAGCTCTCTCTGCCCATCGGTAAGACTGTCCTGACATAGGTACCTCCTATTTGGACAAATGAGGAGGCAAGTCTGCCCCACTAGGACACTAGGAGTAGCCTTTTACCAGCACAACAAGCATAATGGGACAAATTCCATCCTTCTTAGCTTAAAAGATAGATGTTCAAGTCCTTTAGGAGACCACTGATGCTCTTCCAGGCCTGCCTTGATCTTCTTTGGCTTGCAGACACTGACTTCTTATTTTGATTGAATTTGTCTTTGTTTTCGGATACTATTTACTGGCCTGATACTATAGTACCTGAAAATGCCCTTTCCTCTCTCTCTTCCGAAACTGTTTTGCTAAACCTGATACTTCACCTTTCCTCATGCATCAAACAAGTTCATTGCTCTTATCCCTTGGATATTTGGCATTTCTTTGGTTCTGCCCACCCAAGTGCTTTATGTGGGGAAGCCTTAGCCTTAGCCAGTGCCTCACAGGTGTTGTGGGCCAGTAGGGACAGAATAGCACTTTAAAGACATTTATTTTAATGCTCTTACCTTGGCAGTCTGAGAGCCTTGATGTTGATTACAGAATTTTGAATCTCAGAGTTGGAAGGAAGACCTAAACAAAATACTCAGCATATGGCCTTCTAGCCCCTTATTTGAAGAACTCCAATAAGGAGGTCGGTGAATTGGGAGCTGTGCTTCACTTTCTTGCTCAAGACTTCATAACACCAGGGAAAATTAGAGAGAGAAGGGATTCTTTCTTGCCATGAAGGCTGGATGATTCCTGGTAAGAGACACTACAGAGAGTATTCCTGGACATGTCGATTGGACTAGATGGCCTCAGAGACATAAAGTACACTCTGTGATTCTGTGAACGTCTGACTTTCCAGGTCCCATGACATTCAGTATTGACACACCTTTGAGAACAGATAGAAGCTCAGAAGATGCTGTTGAGACATAGCATCACTGATCCTTTAGTGTATGGTAAATCTTAAAACATTCGTGAAACTCTTCCCAGGGATTTATGTAACATAAGGGGAATGCAGACAGAAATGTGGGCAAAGCAGGATGGGTAAGCAGACACCCTATATCTGTGATGTTTTGCCATACAGATGTCTCTTCTGGCTCTCTCTTCTGAAAATACGGTCAGCTTTGTGGTATAGCTTGAGAACCAGTTTAGATATGCTGCTTTAGAAGCCCGGGCAAGTCAGTCAATAAGCCAGCAGGCGTGTATTAAACACTTACTTCTTGTCAGGCACTGTGCTAAACCTTAGGGATAGAAATATAAGCAAAAACAAAACAAAACAAAACAAAAAACATTAACTGCCTTCAAGGAGCTTGTGGAGGAAGATAATACATACAAGGGGAGCTGCTTCTGCCTTTCTGCCACCGGCCTATTTAATTCTATGATTCCGGCAACCTCAGTTATCTAGAATGCGGCCACAGCAAGCAAAAATAATATGAAGAAGAAAATAGCTGTGTCAGTATATTCCTTTGTCACTGATAACCGACGGTGGTTTGCTGGTATAATGTTGGAGGATGGAGCTGTGATTCAGTGTGTGAAACAGAAGCAGAGTGTGTTTGTTGAGGGGATTAAAAAGCGGATGAGTGAGCGAAATAGAATAAGGAGGATAGTGGGGTGGGGAAACAAGCATTTATTAGACATCCGCTCTGTGCCAGGCACTGTGCTAAGTGCTTTACAACATTATCTCATTTTATCTTCACAACAACCCAGTGAGGTAGGGGCTTTGAATGGAGTAGAATGGATTAGGGGGGTGTTTGCAAGGTAGGGACAGAATATTGGCAAATGAAGGTGAGGATTGTTATTTATGGAAGTGAGAGGTGCTGCACCTGAGTCTGGATCCTCCAGAGTCAAGTCTAAGTTAGACTGAAAGATGGATAATTGGTTTTTGGACCAGGAAGCAGCAGGTTCACCCTGCCTGCATGGCTAAGCAGAGAAGTTATTGGTCCTAGGTCCTAGCGCTGATTTCTGTGGTATAATGTCCACAGTTGAAGGCTATGATGACTAAGTCCTGGAGGATATGTGAATTGTTTTGCATGCTGTAAAAGCTAGTTATCTCGATCATCCTCATCCTCCTTGTTATTACTATCATTGCAATTATTATCGGGTTAGCATAGTTCTGAGGTTTTGGTTGTCCCCACTCGGGAAGGAGAACATTCAAAGGGAAGTCGCCAGAACCAGAGTCTGAATGTGAGTATTATTGGTGGTAAGTGGTAGGTGCTTGTCTGTGTGTGTGGGAGGGGGTCATGTCAGCTACTTTCCCACTTCATACAGATCCGTTGTCCTGCCTTCTTAATCTTGATAGCCTTGGGATTGATTCTTGCTGCAATAAGAAACAGCATCATAGAGCATGGAGGAACTTTAAAGATCATCTAATTCAATCTTTCTCATTTTACAAAGAAGGGCATCAAGGCATAGAGAGGTGAAATAATGTGGTCAGGGTCACCCAGCAGGGTGACAGCAGAGGGAAACCTGGAAGCTAGCTTCCTTAACTCCCAGTACTGTCCATGTACCAGCTTCCTGGCAGAGGCATAAGGTTGGCCAAGCATCAAGGCTTCATTGTCTCTGGTGCACTGTAACCACGCCCAGACAACTGACTTGCCTCGTTTCTTGAACCTCTGCTGCTTAGATTGCTCATCTCAGTTTCTGATCTCCTATGTTGCCTTGCTCTTTTATTTCCTGTGGATTTTCTGTTTCTTGAATGTCTGATTTTGGATTGATCACTGTGTGTGGTGTTTTAAATATCTTTTTCCTTCTACTTCCTTCCTGTCTGCCTAGTTTTTAGCTAGTTTTCTTGCTCTGGAGCATAGTATTGTACAACTAAGGGACAAGTCAGACCTTTGCTTCTATTTTGACCACGTCAAGTTGGGTACATCCAAAGAGCATGGCAAGAGGAAAAGTTCTAGGCAGCAGCAACAAGGTGAAATGTGGCATGTCCATATTATCTGATATTTGCTTTTGTCTTATGTCCTTGTGCCTTTTTAAAAATATATTTTTATGAGATTGATAAATTAAATTAGCCTGAACATTTCCTAATATTAAGAAGAATAGAAAAGACGATTGCACGTGACACATAGTCTGTTTTCTTTAGGTATATGTTAAATTGAACACAATATAAAAAAAGTGCCTTGTTTGTCCATGTGCCCTTCTGAACTTCCTCGTGTTCTCTTCTGGAAATTTAAAAAATGTTTCTTTGATACTCTTTCCTTTATTAAAAAAAATGTCTGATCATTATGAACTTGATAAACATCAGCAAACATGAACATATCTCTATACAAAGAAGGGCAGGAAAAGAGGACTTATATACGTAACCATGAATCCCATGATGTACAACTTAGTACGTTAAATCTGAAGTACAAAAAAAAAAAGAAAGAAAACTACCAAGTTTTCCAACATTGTCCTTCTAGTCTGTTTCCCTTCTGAAGTTTTTTCTGCCCTCTTTTTATTATTCAGTGTTTCATTTGCACTTTCTTCCTTTTTTTTTTTCAGTATCACTGTTTCTATACCCTTCAGGCTACCTGTTCCAACTCTAACGCCCAGCTCCACCAGGCTCAAAATCTAGGTGTTATCTTCAACTTTTCTCTCACCCTTGATTCTACCTTCATAGCATCTCTCAAAACCTTACCTCCTTCTCTTCTCTGACACTGCCACATACCTCGATTATTGCAGTAACCTACTGGTTGGTCTCTCTGCCTCCCCCTTACAGTGCATCTTCCACTCAGTTGTCAAATTAATCCTCCTAATGTTAGATTTGACTATGTCACCCCACCCCATTCAATAATCTCCAGTGTCTCCAGGATTAAATACAAAATC